CACAGAAGCTCTGTTTCTCTGACTAATTTTTCTACTTTGCCCCAACAGTGATTTCTCATCTGCTCCCACAGGAGCTCTGTTTCTCTGACTAATTTTTCTACTCTGCCCCAGCAGTGATGTCTACTCTGCTCCCACAGGAGCTCCGTTTATCTGACTAATTTTTCTACTCTGCCCCAGCAGTGATGTCTACTCTGCTCCCACAGGAGCTCTGTTTCTCTGACTAATTTTTCTACTCTGCCCCAGCAGTGATGTCTACTCTGCTCCCACAGGAGCTCCGTTTCTCTGGCTAATCTTTTCTACTCTGCCCCAGCAGTGATGTCTACTCTGCTCCCACAGGAGCCGTGTTTCTTTCGGCTAATTTTTCTACTCCGCCCCAGCAGTGATGTCTCATCTGCTCCCACTGAAGCTCTGTTTCTCCGGCTAATTTTCTATACTGCCCCAGCAGTGACGTCTCCTCTGCTCCCACTGGAGCTCTGTTTCTCTGGCTAATTTTCTCCACCGCCCCAGCAGTGATGTCTCCTCTGCCCCCACAGGAGCTCTGTTTCTCTGGCCAATCTTTTATACTCTGCCCCAGCAGTGATGTCTCATCTGCTCCCACAAGAGCCGTGTTTCTTTCGGCTAATTTTCTACTCTGCCCCAGCAGTGATGTCTCATCTGCTCCCACAGGAGCTCTGTTTCTCTGGCTAATCTTTTCTACTCTGCCCCAGCAGTGATGTCTACTCTGCTCCCACAGGAGCTCCGTTTCTCTGGCCAATCTTTTATACTCTGCCCCAGCAGTGATGTCTCATCTGCTCCCACAAGAGCCGTGTTTTTTTCGGCTAATTTTCTACTCTGCCCCAGCAGTGATGTCTCATCTGCTCCCACAGGAGCTCTGTTTCTCTGGCTAATCTTTTCTACTCTGCCCCAGCAGTGATGTCTACTCTGCTCCCACAGGAGCCGTGTTTCTTTCGGCTAATTTTTCTACTCTACCCCAGCAGTGACGTCTCATCTGCTCCCACTGAAGCTCTGTTTCTCTGGCTAATTTTTCTACTCTGCCCCAGCAGTGATGTCTCATCTGCTCCCACAGGAGCTCTGTTTCTCTGGCTAATTTTTCTACTCTGCCCCAGCAGTGATGTCTCATCTGCTCCTACAGGAGCTCTGTTTATCTGGCTATTTTTTCTACACTGACACAGCAGTGATGTCTACTCTGCTCCCACTGGAGCTCTCTTTCTCTGACTAATTTTTACTCGGCCCCAGCAGTGATGTCTACTCTGCTCCCACTGGAGCTCTCTTACCCTGGCTTATTTTCTACACTGCTATAACAGTGACGTCCCCTCTGCTCCCACTGGAGCCCTGTTTCTCTGGCTAACTTTCTACACTGCCACAGCAGTGTCGTCTCCTCTGCTCCATCTGAAACTCTTTTCTCTGGCTAATTTTCTTCACCGTCACAGCAATGATGTCTACTCTGCTCCCACAGGAGCTCCGTTTCTCTGGCTAATTTACTACACCGCCACAGCAGTGACGTTCTCCTCTGCTCCCACAGATGCTCTGTTTCTCTGGATAATTTTCTACACTGCTCAAGCAGTGACCTCTTCTCTGCTCCCGCAGGAGCTCTGTTCCTCTGGCTTATTTTCTACACTGCTATAACAATGATGTTTTCTCTCCAGTACATCACCATTTAGAATTATTATTCCTGCTAAAACCCTTAATTGATTATTTCCTCTGTCCAGCAAGCTTGGTCTCCAAGCTAACGTCGCACGCATCAAAATTTATCCTCCAAGCGGTATCTCCCAGGACCCTTCAATCCTATATTACCGCTCGGAAGTAACATAAAGAAAGGAAACGATAAATATAACGTCTCTTATAACTTGCCTTCCCCCGATTTTTCTCTTTCCAATCAAATCTTTTATCTCCTATTAAAGGTTATTTGAGCGGCAATCCAGTTTTTCCCATAAACTGTCGTACGGCACTACTTCTGTGGAGTTAAACAATTCACAAACCCTGATTAAAGGGATCCAAAGATCCCAGCCCACCCGCCCCCGACTCCGGACACCCCATAACACTGGAAATTCTCATTAAATGTATTCGGCTTTCCGCATAAGCTACCAGCCCTTCAGTTCCACTCACACACTCAATGCCACGTTTAAATTACCCTTTTTCGTTTTTCTTAGACACTCAAAAAACCGCCATCACTTATGAGCAGAGTGAGTGCTTTCCCAGAGGAGCCCTTACATTTTTCTCCTTCATCCAGCGAGCAGTTGGTCTCACAGCGGATGCAGTGTGAGAAAAATCTCCTGGGCAAGCACTCAATTTTTCCACTTTTCAGTTTTCCTTCTTCCATCCAGCGAGCATCGGTCTCACAGCGGATGGAGTGAGAGCTTTCCCAGTAGAGCACTTAAAATTTTCTCTTCCATCCAGCGAGCAGTTGGTCTCACAGCGGACGGACATGAGAAAATTTCCTGGGCAAACACTCATTTTCCCCTCTTGTCAGGTTTCCTCTTTCCGTCCAGCGAGCATTAGTCTCACAGCGGACGGAGTGAGAGCTTTCCCAGTAGAGCACTTAAAATTTTCTCTTTCATCCAGCGAGCAGCTGGTCTCACAGCGGATGGAATACGAGAAATCTCCTGGGCAAACACTCATTTTCCCCTCTTGTCAGGTTTCCTCTTTCCGTCCAGCGAGCATTGGTCTCACAGCGGACGGAGTGAGAGCTTTCCCAGTAGAGCACTTAAATTTTCTCTCTTTCATCCGGTGAGCATTCGGTCTCACCGTGGACGAGAGTACGAGAAAATCTCCTGGATAAGCACTCATTTTCCTCTTTTCAGGTTTCCTCTTTCCGTCCAGCGAGCATTGGTCTCACATCGGACGGAGCGAGAAAGTTCCAGGTAGAGCACTCATGTTTTCTCTTTCATTTCAGCGAATATTTGGTCTTACAGTGGATGCAGCGCGAAAACCTCCTGGACAAGTATACAACAACCACACCTTGTTCGCAGTCAACAAGGGCCATCAGTCCAGGCAGTGAGCCAACATCACGGGCCTCCCTGACCAAGCATCCAGGCCCCTTCTCGAGATGCCAGCCCGCCATTTCTTGGCACTCTTTGGGGGTCTTAAGTCCGGCGGCTGTCCTCTGCTCTTTAGCCTTTTGGGGGGAGTACTCTGGGTTCGGGCAGAATTCCGAGCACGGAGCCCTCCCTCCGGACAGCACGCCAAATACGCATTGAATCTTACTCACTCAAAATTATATGTAAGTGTGAACTCGTGAAAAAACTACTGTCAAAATTTACTAGACACGCAGTGAAAAATTTGTGAAATAATAATAATATAAAAAACGTTCCAAACACTGTAGGAAATTAAACTAAATGAAATGCATGCATTCACATTTAATTCGATTAATTCACAGCCTATATTAGACGGGTTAAATGAACATGTCAATTTCAGCAGATTAGTTTGGTATTCTGCCAGAGACTTACTTTGATTATTTTGTACTTAGTGAAATGTGATACATCTGGCCAAGTAACCTGAACTTTAGCCACCATCATCAACATCACTGTGCTTCATACCACTTCCCTGAAATGTTCCCATATTTTACCCCCCCACACACATATACAGGCCTGCTCACACACATAGCAACGCAGCCAATCAGTTTTGCAGTTGCTACAGAAACTGCATGCTTTCATGTCAACTACAGCTCGGTTGTCATGGGAATACATATACAAGGCGAACTCTTTTGGCCGTAGTTAAGAACCCTAAGACAACACGACGACTTAGACAGGTACAAACACACACACACAACGATGCAAACTCACTCTCCCAGAGCAAAAGGTGTTATTAATATTTTCTCATCTGCGTTGATGTCAGTCTGCGACTTTATCATTATTCGTCACAATGATTACATTTTGTTTGTAGTTGTGCTTTGATAATAAATCATACTACATTTTAATTATAATTATGGACATGTTTTCATATCCACAGCCCACATTCATAAAATCTCTTAAAAAAATCTCTTTAGTCTCGTTGTTGACTAATCTCCCATAAAGTCACTGTGGACTTTGATTTAAGGTTAATATTGCAATAATGAGTCAATGAGATTTTTTTTCCTGTCGTACCTTACATTAACAACATAAAAATGTCAGGATGATACAAACATAATGAAAAAAGTCTTACTTTTTTAAAACAAATTATTATTGATTTGTGTGGTATGATTTTTGGCATCATTAAGTAGTTTGGGTCTTATTCTCATCTCTTGAAACAAAACAAAAAAATCCTTAAACCTGACAAGTTAGAGATATGTCTTTTTACTTGACCACTGTACAACATGACACATTTCAAATACTTAAAATGTAAAATTGCCATAAAAGTTTTTTTAATCGTGGACACCAACTGCTCTAAAAAATAATGGTAAAAAATGTCCATAATTCCTAGACAGCACAAAGATAGATGTAGGAAATGTAAAAAAGCGGGAAAAAAAGTGTTAAAGAACATGTGCATACATCTGGTTAAAGTATTTAAAATCTATCAGACCAAAGAATTATGGATGGGAAAATCAATCAGAAAGATTAGAGAATGAATTCTAAAAAAAAAATGACCGGCTCTTTTACACCTTAAAGGGATAGTTCACTTTGAACTTAATTTTTGGTATGTTTTACCAAAGCCCCCATGCCCTCAGATCACTTGGTTGTGGTTACACGAGGTAAAAACGACATAAATACTGTTCGTTTTCTCACACAAACCGCTCGTTTCGTGTCTTAGGCCATCAGTGTGTACTTACATTTACGAGTCATTAAATCATGTTTAATTTGGACTTCTCTGTGCATGCTCTTTGAGGTGGACCCCATATACCTCCATTATATGACTGACAGACAAGAAGGGTTTGACCTAAAAATTTCAAAATTGAAAATACTGTGGAAACAAAGAAACCTACATCTTGGATGTCCTTGAGGTAAGCTAAAACATACCAAACATGCATTTCAAAGTGAACTATCCCTTTAAGCCAGAGTAAAGCTCAGTGAAACACAAGCCCTCACCTGACTGCGATCCTTATCCACCTTCTTGAAGCATTTGTTTAGCGACAGATTATGACGCACTGAATTCTTCCAGCCAGTGGGGGCGCTAGCGAAGTAAGGGAAGTGCTCCAGTATCCAGCCGTAGATGTCTTTGACAGGAAGTCTCTTAGAGGGAGCGTCCTCTATTGCCATGAAGATGAGGCAGCTGAAGGAGTATGGAGGTTTGCGGCTGGGCCCCGTGGACAGGTGGTAGGGCGGCTCGCTGGGCTCGGGGGAGGACGACGGCGAGGTCGAGGGCTCGCGGCCACCGTTAGCGTCCTGCAGGGGGCTGACGCTACGCAGGCCGGAGTGGCCCAGACTGGTCAGCAGATCCGTGCTCTCGTGCAACCAGCTGAGGCTGGTCAGCTCCTCGTCCTCGGCCCGGCTGAGGGAGGCGGAGAGGGCCAGAGAGAGGTCAGCGGCCTCGGTGTCCTGGTAGAGCTGACTCAGACCCCGCGCCACGCTCCCACTGCTGGGGCCCTCGGCCTTCTTCCCTGGGGGCATGACCACTGGACCCATGCAGCCCTCGGCTCCTGCAAAGACACAAGAAGCACACTGTAAAGTGACAATTTTGTTTTTAACCAAGTATTCGTGAAAAGGCTTAACTGGAACTCTTATATAAGCTGACTCTTTTGGTATGGAAGGCCATTTTCACCACATAAGAAAAAAAAATCATGCTTTGGTAAATGAAAGTAAAAAATGATGACAAAAAAACTAAAATCAAAGAATTATGACATACTAAGATTTAAAAATCTAAATTACTTAGTATATAAATTAATGTATGTAAATATATATTTGCCATTATGACATACTAAGTCATAATGAGTTGAATATTTGTCATATTTAGGACTTGTGCCATAATTTCAACTTTTTAAAGGGGATACTACAAAGCTGGCAAAATGGGGTTTCAATAAAACTCGAAAGGTGGGGAAAAAGGCTGTTGTCTTCCCTTTTGCCAGCTAGGTAGGAAAACGTCCAACACCCATAATGCACTGGGCATGCTGCCACTCCAACCAGTCGGCTGTGGATATGCTTGCCAGAGTCAAATACTGCCTTGCTTCAGTAGGAAATACTTCTTCGCAAACTTTTTAGTCATAATGGTGCCGACTTGTATTGTTAACAAATACATGAGGCTAAAATCAATGCTTGTTACATTTACTTTAATCTCTTATATCTGTAGATATTCCCTCAAAACCAACATGTACTCCAGAGAGAAATGAGACTAGAAATCAGCGTGAGAACTGGCAACCACTTCCATATTTCAGAAGTGAGATCAGCAAACATGAAGAAGACTGAGTTGACACACTGAACAAATGCAGTTTATTCATGATGAATAGTCAAATTCCAAACAAGCTACTTCAGCTAAACTCACAAGTTAAATTAGTAGCAATTTTTAACCACTAAAAAAAAGCTGCTTTTAACACAAACATTAGATTTTTAAGGGTCCAACAGAGAAGAATAATGGCTAAATTTGGGTCTGGCCCCATTCAAAGGCTTCAGAAGACTTGAAATATGATACTTTAGGTGCTTTTTTTGATACCTTTTGGATACTTTTTGATACTTTAGGTGTTTTCTGTTCTTTTAGGAGATTGGCAGTACAAATGAACATTTAAAACATATTAATCTCTCCATATATATATATGAAGAGTGCAGATGCAAAAGCCTCTAAATGCCATTTGAAATTTTCTTCTTTAATGATGATTTTTGTCAAGCTTGTATATTTAAGTTCAGTGATTTCACTTAAATGGCAATGATAATTACCTATTAATTGTTATTTAAGTGAAATTACTGAACTTAAATATACAAGTTCGACAAAAATCATCATTAAAGAAGAAAATTTCAAATGGCATTTAGAGGCTTTTGCATCTGAACTCTTCACACACACACACACACACACATATATATATATATATAATGTTTCACAGAAGAAAAAAACAATAGGGGGTCAGCATGAAATGAGGATAAGTAAATGCTAACAAAATTTAAAGGGTTATAAAATTTAAAAAGGGTTTGACTGTCAAATTTCAGAATTTTTATTTATTTCTCAGAATTGCGCAATTCTCACCTTTTTCCTGGCAATTTTGAGATTATATCGCGAAATTGAGAAAAAAAGTCCACCTTGCGAGAGAGAAATAAAAGTCAGAATTGTAAAAAGGTCGCAATTACCCTTTTGCAATTTTTTGTTTTATTTTGTTTGGGAAACAAGCTTCAATAGATAAGGCAGCTTTTTCTGTCTCGAGAAGAGTAAAAAATAAACAGACAACTGAGATAAAATAAATACAGTTAATAAGTTGCATTATGAGTCAAAAAATCATAATGAGAAAGATTTGAGCAAATGAAAAAGAGAAATGTAATAAAGAGAAATGTAATAACATTAGAAAAGTAAATGCACGAAATAAAGCAACAATTGCGAGATATAGAAAATTGTGAATTATTTCCTAGAATTATGAGAAGTCGCAATTATTAGATCTAAAGCAACAATTACCTTTTCCATACAAAATCACGTTATAACAAGGATGCAACCGTATTACAATGGAAAATCTGATAAAGTGTTCTCGTGACAGCAGCCTGTTTTGTGAGGTTTCTAGGAGGTAAGCTTAGCACGAGGTTGGATTGTAGTACAAGGAAGCCTGACACTATCTCCAGATGCATAAAATCTAAATACGAACTTATCACACACTGCCCAAGTCACAGTAGGTAATCCAGTTAATCTCTCCCTACAGCGTTACCCATCACTTTTAACCCTCTCTCTCTGACACCCATGCCAACACGTACCCACACACAATTATACATATGCCGTACTAACATGTCAACTGATGTGCCAGGGGCAGCGCCCCCTGATAAGGCCTTTCGATCAGTCAATATCAGCATATGCAGCGGAGCACTCCTTGGAAAATGCACAGTCACGCCTCAGGGCTGCTTTTGACACTCGCGTTTACATGTCAAAGCAGCAGCTCTCTTCCCTCGCTTTGATTGACAGCTGACAGCTAGCGCTGCATTGCTAATACAGCATCTGTCTCCACGGCAACAGAGCGAGAATATTATCCATCCTCGCAATCTGGAGCAGAGATTCCCTGGGGTCAGTCAAGCCACGGCTGCGTTTATAAGGCAGATTATACAAATGCGGACGGCATCACATCCACATCACATCCGAGGTCTCAGCTAGAATCAACTGCATATTATTAACAAAAACTGTGAAAAACTAAAATCCGTTTCACAAAAATACAAAAAAATGGTTTAGCCTATAATTGAAATGTATGTCAAATTAAGAGAGAAAATAATACTAATAAAATGTTTTTGTTTTGTTTTTTGGTAGAATGATGGTATCTGATGAATAGGATTTTTTGAAATGGCAAATATAGATTATTTGTGTATGTTTTACAAGAATCTGCTTTTTCAGTTTTTTCTATTTAAATTTAGCATTTCTTTAATTTACTAGCATTTCTAAGTAAAAATTGTTTCTACGCTAAATTTTTGTCAGTGCACTTTGTTATTGTAAGAAAACAGCATTTGCATGTTGTTCCAATGTACTTCATTTATTTTGATTATATTCTCCAAAAATATATAGGCTATTATTGAAAAAAATAAAAATAAAATCATGATCAATCTGTATCAAATTGTCCAAAATATGAAAGCCAATAAATAAATCCGTAAGAAAAGCAGTGGGCTGGCGGGTCAGTTATTATGAAGGTAACTGCATGAAGGTGCATATACATGCACATATACACACACGTTATACAGTTTTGCTTTTTATGTATCCATAGTTGCGCTGCCACAAAACGTTACATCTGACAGAAAAGGGCCAGCTAATTTTACTGTTGCTATGACAACAAACTCCTCGAACAGGGTACCATTGGGGCTGCCAGTGAACTTCCCTTGCGCTCAAGAATCAATTACATCTTACCGATCACAAAGTTTGAAAGAGGTTTTTGTTTGAGCTCTTAATAACCCCTCAGAAATATGGGAGCAACAACAGCTCGCCCAAATGCCCATTAGTGCCTCAATCTAATGTAAACATTACGGGAATTTTGGCTCAGTGTAAACAAAGGAAACGTTAAAACTCAGCATCTGCTATATACTGCAAGCTCTCTCACGATACAGTTACAACAAATGAACAAGAAATACCCTAGCATCTTTATGGTGTTTTTTGACATACCTTGGATACCAATTAAATATATAGTATGGTATGAATTATATGGATATAATATAATATATGGTATATTCAAATAAACTCAAATTTAAATCATTCAGTTAAAGCGTTCTCCTATAAAAGCTTAACATTATTATAAATCATATTGGGTAATTTGACTTTTGATTTATTAATTCAATATAACCATGGATTAAACAAATGATTCAGTAAAGGTTTCTTTCATTAAAGCTCATGGTTATATATATATATATATATATATATATATATATATATACACACACACACACAATTTGACTTGATCTGCATTTAATTTGTTGTCAACTTTTTTTTGCCCCGCTACTTGCACTAATGCTTAACTTGGTAAGACAAAAAAAAAAAAAAAACAAGAACCAAAATAAAACATAAAAAGGCAAAAAAAAAAGAAAGAAAAAGAACCAAAAAACAACAAAAAAGGCCAAACAAGAACCAAACAAAGCAGCAAAAAAAGAACAAAAGAACAAGCCAAAAAAAATGTAAAACTAAAAAAACAAGAACCAAACAAACCAAAACAAAAACAACATAAAGGGCAAAACACAAAAAAACAAAACAAAAAACAAAAACAGCCAAAGCAAAAAAACAAACAACAACAAACAAACAAACAAACAAAAAACAAAGGCATAACAAGAACCAAACAGACCAAGCGAAAAAAACTAAACATAAAAGGCGAAACAAACAAACAAACAAGAATCAAAACAAAACATAAACGTCAAACAACAAAAACATAAAAGGCCAAACAAAGAACAAACCAAGCCAAAAAAAGCAAAACAAAACGCATCAGGCAAAACAAAAGGACAACAACAAATCAAGCCAAAAAAGGTAAAATTAAAAAAAAAACAAGCACCAAACAAACCAAAACAAAAACAACAAAAGGCAAAACACAAAAAACAAGAACCTGCCAAAGCAAAAAAAAAAAAAAAAAAAAAAAAAATCAACAGCAACAACAACAAAAACACAAAAAGGCATAACAAAAACAAGAACCAGACAGGCCAAGCCAAAAAACGAAACACAAAAGGCAAAACAAACAAACAAGAATCAAACAAAACATAAGCGGCAAAAAACAAGAACCAAAGAAAACAAAGCACAAAACAAACAAGCACCAAACCAAAGAAAACGGTCAAAAATATATTTGTTTTAACATTAACGCACGCATCACAAACGATAAAAATGAAAGGCCATCAATTACGACAGGTGGCACAAGGCTTCTCTTGAGTTAATTCAAACCAAGCAAAGCAAATGTCTCAATGGACTCAAGTTCATTCAAAATATTTAAATCCCACAAAACCTGCTAAACAAATCCTTCAAAAAAGTCAACAATAAACTGCATTCACATAACCCTGAGGTACA